CCTGCAGGAGAGGGCACAGACAGCCAGGGACTGAGCCACGGCAAAGGCAGGAGCCTGGAGAGCAGCTGCTGCAGCTCATTCCTGCAGAGACCTCACACGAGCCCAGCAGAATGAATTTTGATTCCCAGTGTAATTTCTATGTGAGTATCACCCAGAAGTACAAGCCTGGAAACGTTAAAAACCGTGACCAATCCCCCAAATTTGGTACACCTTCATTTTCCCCCAGTCACTCAGATTAGGGCACATTAACTTCCTGAGAGCCCTGGGAACAGTGACTCTGCACAATTTCAGATACGCATATGGAGAATACAACATATACCCTGCATAAAAATTAGTTTTAACTCTTGTAGTGTACCTAAAAGAAAAGCCTATCAGTCCACAAAGCTGATGAGTACAATGTAGATGACAGAAGCCATAAACTAAAACACCAGCTCCACCTCATGGAGGGGGCAGAGCCCTGGAACAGCTGCCCAGGGAGGGCCTGCAGCCTCCATCTCTGGGGACACCCCAAACCCACGTGGATGTGCTGCTGTGGCACCTGCTGCAGGTGACCCTGCCTGGGCAGAGGGTGGCACTGGTCATCTCCAGAGATCCATTCCAACCCTGACCACCCCGGGACTCTGTTCAGGACAAAACAAACCCATGAACATTTTGTTTAAAGTGACTAGGGAAGGAAGCACATTAAATTGCCAGCAGGGAGGAATGGGATGTGACCCTGAGTTTCAGGGACTCACCACTGACACTCAGCGCTCTCCTGGATCCCTCTGCCAACGCCGCCAGGTCGACGTAGGCAGATCCAATGAGACGATCTGTGTCCAGGGGTCTTTCCGCCTCACTGTCCTTGCCATAGGCACACCACACCTGGATTTCCAACCTCTCCTCCCTGAAGAACCACAGCAGCCCCTGGCTCCTCCCGAGGGTCACCGTGCTGGCTTTCCCGAAGCTCACCGTGACGCTCTCCATGTCGTGGCTCAGCTCTGGCCGCCGCAGCCACGTGCAGGTGGGCTCCTGGTTGTACAGCTTGTACCTGAGGTAGCAGCGGGTGCTCTCGTNCTCCTGCCGCTGCAGGCACTCGTGGAAGCGGCGCACGTTCTGCATGTGCTCCTCGTGCCGGGGGGGCTGTGTGCCAGCGGGGCCCATCCTGCTGAAAACAGCCCTCTGTTCAATCCCAAAATCCAGCCTGCAGCCTCCCACAGGGCAAAGTCTGCCACCTGAGAGCAGCCCGTGTCTGGAATCCACTAAAGAGCCACCCGTGGGTGAAGCCAGTAATTCCAAATGTGCACAGGAACGGCATTTGCTGCCCCAGGTTTGTGCCAAAGCCAAGGTAACAGTGGGGCTGGCAGGCAGCTCCCAAGGCCGGTGTTCAGAGCCCAGAGTGGTGGCACCCAGTCCCTCCAAACCTCAAAGACACAAATGGGGAGAGGATCGTCTCTGCAGGCTAAACAAACAAATAATAAACCAAGCCACTCTGGCTCATCTGAAGGGACAGAAAGCAGAATTACTGCAGGATGTCTGACAGTCCTGCTCCTGTAATATGCAATACTGCAGCCTTTCACCAGCTGTCATTCACTGGTCATGGGCAGAAATTAGGGCAAAATAGAGGAGAGGCATCAGGAATACTCTATCTAATTTACACTTACTAAAAATAAAACCAAATACAGACACAATCCTCATTCTTATCAGGACCTGGATAAAGTACCTGCCAGCTTTAACAAGGGCACCTTTTTACCAATGGTAAATAAATTATTATTTATTTATTTACCATTTACCAATGGCAAATAAATCCTTATTTACCAAGGTGCAAATGAAACAAATCAGGAAGTATCAGTGACAAGGAAAAGAACATCTGGGCTGTGCCAAAAGGAACCTGTCCCAGGACTGCTTCCTCCTGCACCTCTCTCCCACTGGGAAAGGCAATGCCCACTAATTTTTCAGCCCAAACACAGTGGGCACACTTTGACAAGGTGTACCATTTCTCCAGTAGAGCCAATTTGCTTTAGAGAAGCATTTCTGAGACCTGAAAATAACAAAAAAGTTGTCAGCCTGTGGACTTACTGCTCTCGAGCAGGAACGCTGACTTCCTTTGACAAGGAGTTCAACATCTGCGTGGACAAGTGTGCGGAATTACTGGGACATGCTGGAAAGCTGACCTTCACCTGGCATGGAGAGGAAAAAGGAACACTCTACATGAGTCTTTCACAATAAGAAAATAAGAGAAACTGAGGTACTATCCTGCTGATCTAAAAAACCTCAGGCTTTCTAAATAGCTTTACGTTTTCAAATGATTTCCCAGCACTGAGCCAAAGTACTATTTCACAACACTTTCATTTCAGACGCTTTTGTTAACTCCCCCACGCTATCAAAGAGTAAAGTGATGGAAAGTAGGATAAAGGCTGCCTTACAGGTCTGTAACACACCAAAGCATATCTGGGGAGCCTAGAGAATAAAGAAAAACCCAGATAAAAAGCAAATATCCCAGAAAAACAGATTCTTGCCAAATTGGATGTTTCCTAACCAATGAAAAGTTGAATCTACTGTATGTTTTTGGGTACCAGCTGTCACCCAAAGCAGCAAACAGATCTAAGCCATGCTCCCAGACATCCAAATGCACAGAACAGTCTCCTAAAGAAAATGAAGCAACCACAGAGCGAAGCCAAGGGGATGCTCATGACCTGGTTGAGGTGCTGCAACTAGCACTGGCCAGCAGCTACCATGGAAACCTGGCGCAGAATTCCTGAGGAATCAGGAGGTTTTTAAGCAGACTGGTCCATGAGAGTGCTGTGAACTGTCTCGGGAGCCCAGAG